ATGGACCACCCGCGGCGGCTCCAGTGACTCGATGAAGCGCCAGCGCAGAGTCTTATAACGGTTCCCCCGAACCATCTCCTGCAAAACATGCACACACACACATTGGACAATCTGAAATGCTGAATAAGGACACATTGGAGTCAATGTTATTTTAGTAACACTGAGATACTATTAAAGAATTTCTTTTTTTAATTTTAGTTATAGCAATTTTGATTCACATTTGAAATAGTATGTCTTAGTTTTTATTCATTTTTAGTTATTTTGGTCAATGAAGTTGAACAATGAAAATGAGAAATGTTGCTTTGGCAACTAGCTTAAATAAAATGTTTAAGGGTTTTTATGTTTTACTTCAGTTAACCTTTACTTAATTTCAAGTATATTTACATAGTTTTGATTGGAGTCTGAAACAAGGCTTAAATAATACTCAATTGTGAATTCTGACAGTTCATTCATATACAGATTTACTTACAGGATAACACCTCTCTGTCACCAAAGAATGAAGCTTTTCTTTGTTAAATCTGAGAAGAGGAAAAGAGGACATGTTTATTACTGCAGATCTTGTAAGTGGGAAAAATGGAAAAGACAGTAAAACTTTGAAGCAGGAACTATTGTTGATAAAACAGGATTTCTTTCTTACTGTGTGAGTGCTGCATGAGCATCTATGAACATTTGCTGAGCTAATGCTGGGAACTCTTTAGTGGAGAACTCTGGGTCGTGGTCCTTTATTTTACGAAACCTGGTCAAACAGAAAATAGTACCAATATTACATCAGCATCTGAAGTGTGACGTTTACAGAGAGTCACTGAGGCTGCGGTGGTGCTTACGCCAGCTGTGATGCTGCGCTCTGACGCAGCTGTTCTGTGCGCTGCTTCAGACCTTCTTTGGACAACGTGGAGAGGCGTGCATCTCCTTCAGGAGGAACGTACGGATCAAAGATGCCCGCTGAAAAAAACACATGAAAAATAACCATAATGTGAAACAATGTTAAACAAGTGATGTTGGTTTATCACCTAAACATCTAAAGAACAATGCTCAAGACTTCAGAGATGTTTCCAAATAAAACACTAAGCATATTGTCTTGAACTTATGATTTTTATGCATTTTCTTATGCTCACCAAAGCTGTATTTATTTGATCAAAAATACAGAACAAAATAGTACCACTGTGAAATATTATTACAATTTAAAATAACCGTTTTCCATTTTAAAATATCATTGATTTCTGTGATGCGCAGCTGAATTTTCAGCATCATTACTCCAATCTTCAGTGTCACATGATCCTTCAGAAATCATTCTAATATGCTTCTCTGGTGCTTAAGAAACATTTCTGATCTCCATCAACACTGAAAATATTTTTTGCTGCTTTGTGTTTTTTGTGGAAACTGTGCTACATTTAAATAAATACAAATAAATAAAAATCATACAAGAATCAAACTTTTAGTGAATGTTTCACATAATGATCTTAAAAACCCATTGACTGGAAGGTTTAAGGTTAAAGGTTTGACACTGGTGTAAATTGTGCCAATGTACACATACCTTAAAAAAGTATATTATTATTAGTTGCAGTAGCAGTAATTGTATTATTACTGACTAAAGAATGAGCAGGTGAGTCCAGACTTTGTTCTGGAGGAGTTTACATATACAGGTGCATCTAAAAAAATTAGAATATCGTGAAAAAGTTTATTTTCTATTTCAAAAAGTGAAACTTTCATATATTCTAAATTCATTACAAGTAAAACATTTCAAAAGTTTTTTGTTTTAATTTTGATGATTAGAGAGTTCAGCTCATGAAAGTCAAAAATCCAGTATCTCAAAATATTAGAATATTTACATTTGAATTTCATTAAATGACCTTCCCTACAGTATAAATCCCGGGTATCTCTTGTTCTTTGAAACCACAATAATGGGGAAGACTGCTGACTTGGCAATGGTCCAGAAGACGATCATTGACACCTCCACAAAGAGGGTAAGTCACAGAAGGTCATTACTGAAAGGGGTGGCTGTTCACAGAGTGCTGTATCAAAGCATATTAAATGCAAAGTTGACTGGAAGGGATGACCGCAACAGGGATGACCGCAAGCTTGAGAATACTGTCAAGCAAAGCCAATTCAAACACTTGGGAGAGCTTCAGAAGGAGTGGAGTGAAGCTGGAGTCAGTGCATCAAGAGTCACCACGCTCAGACGTCTTCAGGAAAAGGGCTATCAAGCCACTTCTGAAACAGAAACAACGTCAGAAGCATCTTACCTGGGCTAAGGAGAAAAAAAATGGACTGTTGTTCACTGGTCCAAAGTCGTCTTTTCAGAGAAAAGTACATTTTGCATTTCATCTGGAAATCAAGGTCTGGAGGAAGACCAGAGAGGCACAGAATCCAAGCTGCTTGAAGTCCAGTGTGAAGTTTCTGAGGTCAGTGATGATTTGGGGTGCTGTGACGTCTGCTGGTGTTTGGTCCATTGTGTTATATCAAGTCCAAAGTCAATGCAGCCGTATACCAGAGGATTTGAGCACTCTGTGCTTCCATCTGCTGACAAGCTTTATGGAGATGCTGATTTATTTTTCCAGCAGGACCTGTCACCTGCCCACAGTGCCAAAACTACTTCCAAGTGGTTTGCTGACCATGATATCACAGTGCTTGATTGGCCAGCCAACATGCCTGACCTGAACCCCATCTGGAATCTATGGGATATTTTCAAGAGAAACAGTGGATCCGAGCTGAAGGCTCAATAGTGCCTCAGCAGTGCCGCAGGCTGATCGCTTCCACGCCACACCTCACTGATGCTGGAGTTTGTGCTAGAGGAGCCCCGACCAAGTATTGGGTGCATAAATGAACATACTCTAAAGAACTTGAACTTTTCTGTTTTGCAAATCCTTTTTTTTTAAGAGGGTAAGTCACAGAAGGTCATTACTGAAAGGGGTGGCTGTTCACAGAGTGCTGTATCAAAGCATATTAAATGCAAAGTTGACTGGAAGGGATGACCGCAACAGGGATGACCGCAAGCTTGAGAATACTGTCAAGCAAAGCCAATTCAAACACTTGGGAGAGCTTCAGAAGGAGTGGAGTGAAGCTGGAGTCAGTGCATCAAGAGTCACCACGCTCAGACGTCTTCAGGAAAAGGGCTATCAAGCCACTTCTGAAACAGAAACAACGTCAGAAGCATCTTACCTGGGCTAAGGAGAAAAAAAATGGACTGTTGTTCACTGGTCCAAAGTCGTCTTTTCAGAGAAAAGTACATTTTGCATTTCATCTGGAAATCAAGGTCTGGAGGAAGACCAGAGAGGCACAGAATCCAAGCTGCTTGAAGTCCAGTGTGAAGTTTCTGAGGTCAGTGATGATTTGGGGTGCTGTGACGTCTGCTGGTGTTTGGTCCATTGTGTTATATCAAGTCCAAAGTCAATGCAGCCGTATACCAGAGGATTTGAGCACTCTGTGCTTCCATCTGCTGACAAGCTTTATGGAGATGCTGATTTATTTTTCCAGCAGGACCTGTCACCTGCCCACAGTGCCAAAACTACTTCCAAGTGGTTTGCTGACCATGATATCACAGTGCTTGATTGGCCAGCCAACATGCCTGACCTGAACCCCATCTGGAATCTATGGGATATTTTCAAGAGAAACAGTGGATCCGAGCTGAAGGCTCAATAGTGCCTCAGCAGTGCCGCAGGCTGATCGCTTCCACGCCACACCTCACTGATGCTGGAGTTTGTGCTAGAGGAGCCCCGACCAAGTATTGGGTGCATAAATGAACATACTCTAAAGAACTTGAACTTTTCTGTTTTGCAAATCCTTTTTTTTTAATTGATTTTAATCTAATATTTTGAGATACTGGATTTTTGACTTTTATGAGCTGTAAGCTCTAATCATCAAAATTTAAAAAAAAAATTGAAATGTTTTACTTTACATGTAATGAATCTATAATATACGAAAGTTTCACTTTTTGAAATAAGTTCCAAAAAAAAAAAAAAGGATATATTTCACGATATTCAAATTTTTTAAGATGCACCTGTGTAAATGTGCAGGCGATGACAGCAGTTTGACATGTGTACCTGTGCATGAGATGTTGATGGCTCTCTCTATGTACTGCTGCCGGACCACCACACCAGCAGCCCGGGCTTTAGTCTCCTGCTCGCTTTGGCTTTTCTGTTTCACATTCACCGCTGGAGGAATGAAGTAGCGCTTCTTTGTGCGGATCGGAACCAACAGCGGCTGCGGCAGCAGCGCCGTGGCGCACTGAATTACACCAGAGAGAGAGAGAGAGAGAGAGAGAGAGAGAGAGAGAGATTCTTTCGCAGTTTCTGGAGGAACTAACCAGTGGAAGTGCTGCAGATAAGGTGATAGTGACATACAGGAGGACAAGGGCAAAGATCAGAGATCATACATATGTATATATAATCACATTTGAGAATAATTGAAGGTCTCGGAACTAATGCTCGCAGTTTACAATATACACACAGTACCATGCTTATGCATCTTCAGTCCTAACCGTTACTAACGATGGGATTCAGAGCCGTTACCATAGAGTCTGTTCAGTCACCAGTGCCTCCCAACCTTTAACCCCCATTCTGCCCAGTCACACCGCAGAGGATTATGGGTAAAACGCATATATAGCCATTACTGATAAAACAGGAGGAGATCGTCGTTTGTACAGAACAAAAGAAAACACACATTTAAAACTGAGCATATCAACGTCATGCTTGCTTTTTTTTCTATCTGTGAATGTAAGGAAGGAGAGATGATTGCGTAATAATACCACTGTATGAGAGGAGCGCCATACTGAGGGAACCACGTGTGTACATGCATTACCAGCTCATAATAAAATAACATGGAGAATCTCTTGCGTTCAGTCACAGCTCTGCTCGAGTGCACTTGCGCCTCCGCTGGCAGAATGGGGAACTACGTTACACTCAAGAGTGAATAACGTTCTCGTTTCCTAGTCTCACTTCTCTTTATTGACTCTTGGGTAATTCTTAAGATGGAGTTGCAGTTTTGTAATCGTTTCTGTTTTTGCTGAAGATAGCCAGATGATGCTCATTTGGGAGTGAGTGAGCAGGTCAGGGAGGGGTCAGAGGTCAGACGGGGGGCGCTTTCCGCTGCAGCAGGTACTGGTGGATGTGGTCTGCGTCTCTCTTGAGCCATGTGGCGTTCAGGAGAATGTTCTCGCAGCACTGCTGTACCGTGCGCTCAGCCGCTGGCGCGTGATGACTTTCAAAGAAACTCTGAAAGCAGAGAAACCACCAACACTTTAGTTCAGAACAGTAACCTGCAGTGCTTATCGGTCTCTTTTCAAACTGTATCACAATGCATTTTATCTGGATTTTGAACAGGACATCTATTGCTCCATTTGAAACCAAACAAACTTCCTGCTTGAAATGTTTGCTTGCATTATATTTCCTGAAAATAAATAGTAAAGGCAGGAATATTTCGAAATATAATTTAAAAGAACCTTTTTTTTAATATATTTTAAAATGTAATTTATTTCTGCAATTCTGCAGATTCTTTGATGAAAAGAAAGTTAAAAAGAACAGCAATTATTTGAAATGGAACAGAAATAGAACTTTGTAACTTCATAATGCGTTTTTGGTCACTTTTGATCAATTTAAAGCGTCCTTGCCCAATAATTTCCATTAAAACCTCTAAACTTTTGTGAAGTGAAGTGACATGTGGCCAAGTATGGTGACCCATACTTGGAATTAGTGCTATGCATTTAACCCATCCAAAGTGCACACACACACACACACCGTGAACACCGAGCCATTTATGCTGCGGTGCCCGGGGAGCAGTTGGGGGTTCGGTGCTGGAGCAGTGGGCAGCCATTTATGCTGCGGAGCCCAGGGAGCGACATGAAGTTGGGGGTTCGGTGCCTTGCTCAAGGGCACCTCAGTCGTGGTATTGAAGGTGGGAGAGAGCGCTGTACATTCACTCCCCCCACCTACAATCCCTGCAGGTACGAGACTCGAACCCACAACCTTTGGGTTACGAGTCCGACTCTCTAACCATTAGGCCACGACTTCTTGAATGCTAGTAAAGTATATTAAATTTCTTTTTTATAAAATAGACTGATTGACTAATGAATCACTGACATGTCCCACTTACTCACCAAAAAAATAAATAAATAAATAAAAGTTTTCTAAAACAAGAATTACTCTAACCAAGTGCAATATTTAGTCTATAAAAGATTTTAAAGCAGAAAATATATATATATATTTTTTTACAAAATATAATAGAAGCTAATACAACAATATTAAACAATTATATTAATATTTAAAATATAAAATTTATGTTAAACAATATGATTATAATTTCTATTGTTGATATTTGGCAACATTGACAGGTTTGATGCGATTCACCCAATGAGACTTTACTAATGTTTCTTGCTGTAAATACCACTTTGTTTAATATTTTGTCAGGCAACAGTCATACATAAAGTAAAACTCAAGCATACTTTTTTTTCTTATGAGACTGTATATTAATTTTTACTCTTATTTGCATACATTATATTTACAGATTTATACTTTGTTTAAACAATGAATTTACATTATCTTTCCATTATTTATGATAACTGTACAAGGACTTTTAAAACTCATTCATATTAAGACTGATTCACTAATAAATCATTGCGATTAGAGAACTGTTCCACTGCTTTACTGAAAAGAATCAATTCAAATGAAATGCAAGCAACGTTTACTCAACCTAAGTGCAATATATAGTCTTTTTAAAAGCAGAACATAACTGGAAAATGCATTTACATTCACTTTACACACCTAGAATTAAACTGCTGGAATTAAACTGAGAACGGCACACTATTTCCCCGTTTAATACTGTAACGCTGCTTTGACAATTTGCATTATAAAAAGTGCTGTATAAATAACAGTGACTTGACTTCAGACAACACTGCTTATAAGCGACATGATGCTCACCTTAACTTCAGCAGCCATTTTATCTATTGCAAACCCATCCACTGTCAGCTGCAGTGAAGAAACAAAACATATATTCATTATACATAATCAATAAATTAGGTATAATACTGTATTTCCCATCTTAATTTACGGATTGTTGCATTCTATTTGTTTACTGCACTTGTTTCACCTTGATGAGTCTTGATATGAGGAAGCCGCCCTGGTAACGATTATGAAGTTCTTCCCAGTTGTCCTTAACAAATTTCCATGCAGCTTTGCGCCCCTGTTTGCTGCTTCCAGCTACGCCCCCAATTACAGACACAGTGTCCTGGGGACGAACCTCCTCCTAAAAATACCACAGCCACACTCAGCGCCACTGTTCACACTTCTGGAGATTTTTAATTCCCAGACTCAGATTAGAGCGTGTCAGATCAGATTGGATTTCTTGTGAGAATGTTAGCCTAATTCAAAGATGAAATGGTGCTTTATTGATCTCCTGAGGAAAATTGATGCATTGCAGCTTTAAACATGAATCACAGGGACTAAATAATTATGGTCCTTCAATACATAAAATATCCCGAATTCAACAATAATTCGGAGATATGTAATTGACAGGCTTGGCACGATTCACCCCAAAATACCTGACTGTTTTGTGCCATTCCCTTTATCCGTTCAAACATTTCACACTCTTGCAAATTGTGGTTCTGGTGCTTGAAATGTTTCCAGTCTGACCTATTTTTTACAGTAAGTGTGTGTGTATATTTGCGTACCGACAGGGCAAAGTTAAGCACTCTCTGGATGAGGTCAGGGGCGGGAATGGCTCCCAGCACTCTCTCGATGCGGTTCTTCTCTTCCTGCATGTCTGCCTGCTTGTGAAGCTGAACACAGAACATGAGAGATGCATTTTATTTGCCTGTACCTTTGAGGCTGTCGCTGTGTAATGTTCAGACACGTGTTAACTGTCACCTTGAGCATGGTGTCAAGCGTTGTGCTGTCTCCGTGCTTCAGAACTGTTAGGTATACCTAAAGGGATGCAAAAAAAACACCTACATTTACAGGGACATGTTAAGCCAGTACTAAGGTTGTGACGGTGAGGAAATTTTTCAACCGTTTAATCGACGTGTTACAACACCGATAATACCGGTATCACCGTGGGGGGCGTGTTAATATAAACAAAAACAATAAAACTGAAAATAAACTGCATCTAATAATCAATTAATCATGTTTCTACTCCAATTTCTTGTTGAAATATAAACATTCAAACATTTCATGACAGATTTACTTAAACATTAAATAATGAAGACAACAATTTAAGTAAAAATACATTAAATGTAAAATACAGTGCATATATTTAGCATATAAAATGCTTCTTTCTAGAGTTTGAGTATTGATTTGGACATCATGGACATTCAATGGCTTTCCTGCTTACAAGATGGTTGATGTTGTCCTGCGTTTAAAACACTTGAACAAATGATCAAACAACTGCACGAGACTTGACACATTTCAGTAAGTATTACTGTTTCTTTTAACATTCCTTATGATGTTCATTCATGTTTATTTTGTGCTATAACTAGTAATAAAGATGAGACTATCAGTACATATGTATAATTAAACAGTATCAAAACAACATTAAACAGCATTAAAACAATATAATTGTTCGTATTTTGTGATAAAATTGACAGAATTTTAAATCTGAGACTTTGTTTCATATTCAATCTTGATCTTGGGATTTAAGAATCCAGATCAGTATCAACTAAAATGAGAAATCGATACTGTTATTCAAGCACTAGCATCCACACAGCTGTTTCTGTTGTATTTTATCTACACTGTCTGCATGAAACAGACACTAACACACACCATCTATTCAATTAATTTCAGACGAAATGTTGGTGAATCACTAGCACACTGATGCAAATGTGTCTGTACTATGAACAGAAATGCAAGACGACTCACTGGACTCCTGAGGTCTGCAGGCAGGATCTGTTTACCCTCCACATGTTCTTTGAATCTCCGCCGAGCCTCCTCCAGTGTGGCCTTATGCCCCGCTTTACCCAGCTTCCCCAGCACCAGACCCCGCAGCAGGGCGTCCAAATGCCCTGAACAAGACACGGGGAGAGGGGCAACCAACAAAAGAACACTTCATTTGAATGTCTCTTGACAAACAAATGATAACTATTTAAACAGAAACCATTAAGCTAAAACAGAACAGCGTTAATGGAGATATATGCACAACGCAAACGTAAGTTTGTGTGAGAAACAGTGCAGATTTTATTAAGTTATTTGGGTGAACTATTCCTTTATAGTTCTTCTTTATAAGAAGAATACATATCTTCTTGCATGTCATGTGAGGGGCTGTATATACCGTTTCCGTGCTGTAACACAAATAAATGAAAACATTTCCACTAGTTTGAACTTCATTATTAATTTTAATGAAAAACACAATAACAATAAAACAAAGACAAACTTAACATATATTAAACATGGAAATATGCCCAAATAGGCACTTTTGCTTTTCGCTTTGACCCCAAATCCTCCGTAATCTTTTTGTCAGTCATCTCTCCTTACTCTATTCACATGATAAGTGAAATCTGACTCCTGCTGCTAATGCTGTATGGAGTGGATGATTTCCGTTTATATTGTAGCATCCATTATCAAACTAAATGTTTTTTATTTTTTTTAAATAATTTAATAAGTAAAATGATGGTGGAGGCGGTGAGCAGTTAAAGGGGTCATATGATGCGATTTCAATTTTTCCTTTCTCTTTGGAGTGTTACAAGCTCTTGGTGCATAAAGAAGATCTGTAAAGTTGCAAAGACTAAAGTCTCAAATTCAAAGAGATATTCTTTATAAAATTTAAGATTCAACCTCACCTACCTAAAACGGCTCGTTCTAACACACCCCCACATATCTACGTCACGATGCGTAACTTTTATTCTCGCTGTTGCCGCTGGTGCCATGTTGTGGAGTCGCTGTGTGTTTCGTTGTGAAAGCGAAACTACTTTGTTTGGTCTTCCAAAAGAGGACACGACTAGAAATCAGTGGTTAAGTTGTATTTACAACACTGTTCCAGAACACTTCAACCCAAATATTCAGATGTGTGCAGCACATTTTATGGAGGACTGTTTACTGATCCTGGGAGAGTAACGTTAGACTAAAACAGCCTGTAAGTACGTTTTTTATATTGAAATAATTTGCCAATGATGATTCAAACGTGAGTTTTGAGCAGTGTAGAGTAGCGCTTGTTGTTTGTCATTTCTCCGATCACAAATGCAGACATGGTTTTAGGTTTACGCGGCGCGATGCAACGCAACGCGTAAAAAGACAGTGTAAGTCATTATAATCCGTAATTATGTCCCCACTGGATGCAACAAATGCCTCGTTTGTAATGGGTTTTATTGGTTTTGTCTCGTCCTGCTGGGAGACGGCATCACAGTATGTTAAGGGGCGTAACATTTCCGTCACACGCTTGAGGTATTCGCCCAATCACAACGCACTGGATAGCTGGCCAATCAGAGCACACCTCGCTTTTTTAGAACAATGAGCTTTGTAAAAATGGAAGCGTTTCAGAAAGGCAGGCATGATAAGCTACCACTAAATATTGTAGAAACTTAATTTGCTGTAAAGTTGCTTTGCAATGATTTGTATCGTGAAAAGCGCTGTACAAATAAACTTGAATTGAACTTGAATAGAGGAGAAACAATAATGTACATTATATGGAAAATAATGTTTTTTTTACCTTAAACCACATGAACACATTGCATTACATCAAATATACAACATAATGTTGTTTTTAGCAACGTCATATGACCCCTTTAATAGGCAATGAACACTGTAACATCGATAACGACTACCAAGGCACACTTACTTCAAATTTCAAGTAATTATTTTATATTTATATATTTTTCATTTAAATAAGAAATACTTGAAAGCTACATCATTTTTAAAATGTATACATTCATGATTAATACCATTTACATTTATTTATTCATATTTATATTTAATTAATATTCACACAAATTTAACTTAAATTTTGAGTCTAAATCAATAACATTTGTTTTTGACTTAGTACCCAAATTGGTTTCGAAAATGCAAAGCACAATATCACTCTTCCTGCTATTTACTACAGAAACTTTTGTATTGTGTTAACCCTCACCATATATTAAAAACCTAAAAAAATGGCTTGTGAAATCACCATGATATAACATTTATATATCAACTCCCTTTCAGTTTTTAACAACTTGACAGGAGCGCTGTCACTCATTGCATTTAGCCTATCATAACCAAGGTCATTTACATAGAGAACATATTTAAAAAAAACAGCCTGTTTAAATTGAAGGCGGCGAGAAATTGGTGATGTGAAAATAAATTCTGACTTTTTTAATGCAAGAAACCTAGACTGTTAAGTGGATTACAGAGAAAAATGCAGAATATGACACCTTTAAAGGGATAGTTCACCCAAAAATGACATTTGTCAATTTTCTCACCCAAAATTATGACTTATTTTCTTCAGTGGAAAATAAAAGTCTCAGTGTGTTTGTTCATATAATGAAAGTCAATGGCCTCTTCAAAATATCATCTTTTATGTTCCACAGGTGAAAAAGTTCAGGTTTAGAATGACATGAGAGTGAATATTTATGACACACAATGTTCATACGCCTTCACTTCTGGCTCTCACCCTCTCCGGTTTTACTGTCCCAGCCCAGCTTCATGCCGATAGGGGTGAAGAGATCTCGGATGAACTCCTGAATGTCCTCGTGGAAGTCAGTGTGTGAGAGCAGAGAGGACAGAACACCCAGATTACAGCTCAGGTCACTCCACACCGTGTAGTTTGGCTCATTCACAAATGCTTCCATCACCTTCAACACCTCCACAGTACTGATCATACCTGCTCGAGCCTGAGGGCATGACAGAGAGAGAAACACTATTAAAAACAGACAGTGCTAATGGACGGAGAGAAGAAACGGAAACCAATAATGATATTGCTGAAATTGCTTTTCTTTTCAGCAACACTGAACACAAAGATAGCAACATTTGGAAAAAAAGATTTGTAGCCTACAAAAAAAGCTTAGTGACACACCAATACTAAATCACTAAAACACACACAAGCACACAACATACTTAAAATATATTAAAAAATTTTTTTTTTTATACATTTAAAGAGATAGTTCACCCAAAAATTTAAATTCTGTCATCATTCTGTCTTGGCCTCACGTTGTCACAAACTTGTTTCTTTCTTCTGCTGAACATACAAGATATGTCGGTAACCAAACAGTTGCTGGTCCCCACTGATTTCCATAGTATGGGAAAAATCCTATGAAAGTCAATGGGGACCAGCAGAAGAAAGAAACTCATACAGCTTTGGACCTTGAGGGAGTAAATGATGACAGAATTTAAATTTTTAAGTGGACTATCCCTTTAATTAGATTTTTTTGTGCTATATATAAATAACTAATATTTCATTATTATTTTAAAAAAAAAACAACAGAAGTTATCCAACGGATATTAAAACAAACAATTTCCTCTATGCTTGAACTATTTCAGCAAATTGCCAAATTAACATTTCTCAGTATCTATAGAGGTTTGCTAAAACCTTTTTTTATTTTTATAATTTTTTTGGTGCTGAAGTTACAAAACCCACATGATTTGATTAATAATTTATAACGTATTAGTCAGGCATGGAGGCTTGAAAGAACCTGACTTCCATAAGACTTTGTAACTCGACACTTCACTCAAGTCTTAATACTTGAGACTTGACTCAAGGTGGAGACCTGAGCCTCTACTCTGACTTGCAAAACACTGATTCAGACTGATGAGTGGCGTCTCACCAGGGAGAAGAGATCGTTTTGCAGACCCAGGCGGTCCACAGGCAGCAGTGTGAGGTCTCGGATACCAGGCAGCAAACTTTCCAGCATGGCAGAGCTGTACTGGATCCTGTAGAATCCCACGGTACCTGGATTAATCTGCACATGGAAGAAAACAATGTGATTTTATAAATGCACAATCTTTGAAGCCCTTCCAATCTTCACTGATATTTGAAGTATAAAAAGCCTTTTCCATAAAATCAATAAAATGCAGCAATCTGACCTTGATCCAATGGTCAGGTGCAACGTTGGTGATGTTAACTGTGGTTTCAGGCTGGTCCAACAGAACCTTCATCTTGGTGCAGCTCGGGTCCTCACTAGTGCAGATACTGATGGGAACCATCCAATTAGGGCAGTTCTCATCTAGAACATAAAAACAGATATTAGAGTATAGAAAAAGACAAATAAACCAATTGTTAAACAAAGTCAGAGGCTTCAATAGTTTAACTGCTTTCTTTGCATGTACCATTACGTGGTCCGCTAGCACAGAACTTCTTCTGAGAGATTTTCAGCACACGGTCACTGCCATGCTGGAGGGGGAAAAAAACCCAAACCAATTATTTCAGCTCTGATTAAATATTGTACTGCCAAGACAACAGTTGTTATTACCAGATGCTCCCTGAGAAGCTCATAGTCCATCCCAGCAAGACTTCTCAATACCAGAGGGGTATTTATATTTGAAACTTCAGGGGGGGGGGAATGTGTGTGTGTGTATATATATATATATATATATATATATATTTTTTTTTTTTTCCTGGATGTTTATATATAAACACAATCCCACAGTGCTGGATCAGATCAAAACAAAACCAAACCTTGATGTCCATGAGAATGAGTTTGTAACTGTTACCTGCTCTTGATCCACTACTATAATAGGGAATCCCATTTGTTTGGTCCAGGAATTCATCACTGCAGCGATAGGTTTCCCACTTGCTTGCTCCAAACACTCCCAAAGGTCCTCTGGGATAGAGAAAGAGAGAACGTCACACCCTTTATTTCTGACAACACAACAATTAACAAAGCATAATAACAACACTGCTGCATGATCACACACACGCCCACAACACTCCCGCCAAATACTATGTCATGTCAGAATTACAATGTAACACACTATGTAATTACTACAGCTGTAATCACTGTTGTTTGGATCGGATCGTGGGCCACAAGCAATGCTCCATTTCCTTATGGAGCCACTTTCCTACATACAAGGGAAAATTCATGTTTTTTTCTTTTACAATTCACTATGCGCTCTTCAAACTCCAGATGTGTAGATTCATACAAATTGGAACTTTTCAACAAAATGGCCCAGACTTAATTTTTCATGTTTTTGTGGTGTGTTGCAGGATAAAAATCAAAGAACAGAAAATGAGTGCACCATTTTGTTCTAATGAGATCAAAAGTTTTTTTTATTATAATGTATGCTTTTTTAATACTGTATTATAATGTTTAAAGCTTAAAAACAACATAAAATGCAGATAAAGATCAAGCTAAACACTACATTTTAGAAACATCATCCCACATTTAACCAGTGAAACTGATACACAGGTCACTCGGTCCATAACACACAGCAAGCTTTCCATAGTATAAGATAACTGCTGTTTATATTGATGAGTAATTGTCATAAAAATAATTATGATTTATGATTTAATTGAGTTTTGTTCATGTCAAATACAGCCTATATCACAGACTTTAAGAACTCTTTTATTCATTGTTCATGTCACGATTAAACGGAAGTAGCGACAGATGTTCTTTTTCTGTAATATAACGTACATCCAAGTGTAACAGATTATTGGGAAAAATAACAAACATAGGATGGGCTATATTTTTCTTTTGTTTGGTGGTGGTTGTTTTTTTAACACCTTATTTGGCTATTTTCATGCTGAAATCCCTATTTGAGTTAGAAACTATAAGACACCTAAAAATTCTACAACTAAATTTGGCTGTCAGATAATTGTGAACAGGTGGTTATGTCACAATCATTATAAGTCTATCTTGGGTTTACAAGGTCATTAGCCTGTTTAGTCATCAATATAAAAATTATTGGTGGGTCAAAGCTTAATCTATGCAAAGACTGTGGCGTGTTAACTTACCAGTAGATGCATTTTTGTGCTGGAACTTCAAAAGGTAAGCATTCATTCCCGTTCTAAAATCCTAGAATAAAGATAATTCAATAAGACATAACTAAAAACCAAAGAGCTAAACATAACTGAAAAGAATTGTAAATTAATCTAAAAGTCAGTATTAACAAGGGCTGCACGCAACAATAAACAAAAGTGATCTGTCAAATTACAAACGGCAGAATGTCATTGACTCCAGCACAATAGACAGATGTGCACACATACACCTAGAGGACCCACATCGACCACCTGCCTGACAGATTTACACTGGGAATGTCCCTCTGCAGCTGGCTGAACATGACCGCTCACCTCATCGCCGATATAGTTATGCAGCATGCGAATGACAGAGGCCCCTTTGCTGTACGATATGGCATCGAATATTTCATCCACTTCTGAAGGGTGTCCAACATCAACCTACGATTCAAAACACACACGCTCTGAAACATGACTCGGAGATCAATATTTCATCAGGCTAAATCTGGGTCTGGAATTTAAATGCTGTAAGTGATACGGCTGAGCAGACAAACAGACTGACAAACAAAGTGCAAATCAAAACTTCCCGCTATCCACACATACTCTTAAAAGCAACAAACAAAACAGGCGCACACTTGGAGATCTGAGTGGAATGAGAAAGATACACCCATCTGTTGCAGACCTCAATAGGGTGGCTGTTATCTAACGCATCCAGGTCCAGAGCCCTAGTGTAGTCGGCAGACACAAACTGGGTCCAGATGTCGTACTCAGGGAAACAGTGGTCCACACAAAGGTACTCGATCCAAGACGCAAAGCCTTCGTTTAGCCACAAATGAGTCCACCATTCCTGCAGCAACAGACATTTTCTCAGTTATATTCAAATACCATTGTGACCTACAAAAACTATATGTGGCGTACCTACCACACTGAACATCTGAACTCACCATAGTAACCAGGTTCCCAAACCACTGATGTGCCAGCTCGTGGCCGACTACCAGGGCGACCCATTGCCGGGACGATGCACACGAGTTCTTTGGGTCAATCAGCAGAGCCGTCTCCCTGTGAGGGGTGAGCACGAGATTTTAAAAAAGGAAATTAAAAAAATGCGTAAGAACAGAACCCAGAACATAACGTGGCTCATATTGTTCAGGTATGGCCGGGGATTAACATGCTACCAAGACAGATGAAATATCAATGAAGTTCTCCTGAACAGACGCTTTCAAAAAGCACAAGGTTCTGGGTTTCCGTGATGATTTATCAAGTCTCAGGATTGCTATTTAATCATTTCATTTAAAAGTCACCTGTAAGTAACAAGGCCCCAGTTTTCCATGGCACCTACAGGACGCAAGAGCACCAAAGGTTAAAACTAAATATAACAATGTCTATGAGATGTTTAATATTTAATGAAAATGATACAAACCGGCAGCAAAATCAGCAATTGCAATTAGATCAATTTTAGGCAACGGATAAGGAACATGGAAATAGTCTTTGTAGAACGGAAGGGTCTTTGTAGCAACCTGGGAAAAATAAAAATGTTTTTACTTTGACAACAAAAGAGTTATTATAATCACAGCTAGCACTAAGCACATAATTTTTTTTAAATATTGTACATTATAATGCTTATAAATGCAAAATTACAATAATTGTCAGCTTGTGATATTAATATCATAATAATATTCATAATATTTATAAAAAGAATAATGTTTTAAATACACTACAGTTCAAAAGTTTGAGGTCAGTAAAGTTTCTTATGCTCAACAAGGCTGATCAAAAATACAGTAAAACATTGCAAAATATTTACATTTAAAATAAAAAATGTTCTATTATCAATGTTAATACTTTTTTCCAAAACCATAATACATTTTGTCCGTTTCTTTGAAGAATAGAAAATACAAAGCAACAGCATTTATTTAAAAAATAAATAATTTTTTAACAATTTTAAGCTCTTTACAGTCATTTGATCAATTTATTGTGTCCTTAAATGTAATAATTTCTTTAATAATGTACTAATTCTAAACCTTTGAATGGTGGTGTATATTTTTTATTTAATCAGATGTTTGGAAATAAAACGTTAAAAATATAAATTTTATTATATTATTTATGTAGGGAATACAGTAAAAATCATTTTCCATGGAGTCTTTGCTGTTTAGACTACAAATACCTAAACCAATTTGAGTTTGATATGCCAAAAATGAAAACAGTCACAAACTGAGAGAACGCCTGCCGTACCTCCAGTGCAAATTTCCCTTGCTCTGCCTTTCCAACAGGAGTGTACACACGGACCGTCACACCATCTGATGACTGACTCTCCACAAAGTCATACTCGCCAATGACAAACGCCACCAGGTAGGTGGACATGATGGGTGTAGTGGCAAACTTCACCTCCACCAGACTGTGATCCTCTGGATATGGCTTTCGATCAACAACATTCTGCACAGATAAAGAAAAGTCAGATTCAATTTGCATCATATTTTGGCCACAGTGTGAAAAAAAATGACCGTTTGTGGTTGGCCAATTTACATTTAAATTGATAAAACCACAACAACAAATAACTTCCTAAGAATGGTAAAAACCAGTAGCAGAGGTTATTAGAACAATATAGTGGTCTAAAAATCGTTTTCAAAACAGAGAAGGAATGCGAATGGCACACGTCACAGGTCAAAACTTGTATACCGCATGTGCGCCACAAGTGTAATGACTCAGAAAATGTACATCGTACATCGGCTAGGGGAGGCACAACGCCTCTGGGCCTGTGTTAGATAATGCACATGCGTCTGACAGTAATGTGAATCTAGTCATTTAGGGAGATTTGTTTCTAGAGGGAAACATCAAAAAAAGAAAAAGAAAAAGAAATGACACGTACCATATTTGACAAGGATATTCTGTCCTTTGGGACGATAAGGGTGATGTCAAAAGTGGCTTTGATAGCGGGTTCGTCCCAGCAAGGGAAAGCTCGACGTGCGTCCGTGGCCTGGAGGGGGTGAGAGACGTCGAGAGAGATGGAGACAGCGAGACAGGAAGAGAGGACTCAGGGTAAGCGTGGGTTGCAGTGATTCAAACAAAGGATATTTGCATGGCATCAAAAACCACAGATCCACAAAAGCACTCTATTCTGACTTTTTCTTTTTTTCTTAAGGCCCAGTCAGGTCAGCAGTTTGGATTTGTAGTTGCCCTGCCAACATTTTCATATTTAAGTTGGCTTGAAAAAGACAACTTACTGATATTCTACTTAAGCTTATTATTATTATTATTATGTTGGCTTATGTTATGTCGTATTATTATGTTGGCTTGGCATAACATATTGTCATGCTATTTAAACATTATTATTATTATTATTATTCTGAGACTCAATTTTCCAAACCTTTTCAAAAATGTAAGTTGAACATTCAATTCTTAAAGCATGTAATGAGATACTGAATCAATGAATTTGAGTTTAGTGTGTGTATATTATCAGTAAAGTACATTTGTAATCATTTAAAAAATATTAGCCATTTATAATAATGTGATTGAGATGAAGGCCATAATACTAACGTTGTCCACACGAGGGAGCCACAGGATGGCAAATCCTTTAAGATCTCAGTTCAAAGACTTTGAAAACGTTTCATTTAAGTGACTAAATAAAAAGAATGCATATAAATTCATTATATTTTCATAAACTTTAATAAAGCCCAATATAAGTATGCAAAAACTGTAATCCCCTAAATACTAATAGACAATTAAATTTTTATCTTAATTTTAATGGTATAGACAATATATTTCTCAAGTTGTCAGACATTACTGAATGCACGTCCACCTGAAGAAGGAACACTATATTAGTTATCTATTTTCATATTGTGCATATAATAGCACTCACATAAGAACTCATAATTTACTTTAAAAGACAATTGTCCATTATGTAACCGTATCATCTACACTAACCATTGTGCTTTGACCCGACGATCGCCTTGAGTAAAACCGCATTGTTTCAGTTACCTTCTTTGTCATTGCCCACAACGCTTTGGTGACAGGACTTTGAAATAGCAAAGAGGGAAAACAATAAAAGGCTTATTTCACATCCAGCTAGCCAACTCTGTTGAAGCTGTTGTCATAGCCTAGTAGGCGTTTTTTTTATTAGAATAGAAAATAGCAAGGGTCCATAGAAAAATATTATGAAAACTATAACTGTTGTACTTTTTTTGACACGGGGCAGCTCAAGAACACCGGACCCACAAGTACTCTGGCTCTTTTGCCCCAAGGCTGCCCATGCAGGCTTTGCCAAGCTAACATTTAAAGTTTGTTCACAAACTTTAGCTTCTAGTTATTATTATTCTTCTTAGACTAAATTTCTGAACGCTACTCCTCCTAGAGCTTTCAAGCAAGAACCACCAAACTCAGCCCAGCTGTTCAGACTGTTTTGATTTGGGTTGCTATATCTTTTCTAGTCTCGCGTAGCCAGACCTTCAGACTAGGGCTGCACGATAAATCGCATGCGATATTTAACGCGCAGCCCTACTTCAGACTGATGGCTGAAGGTCTGGAATCCATGGCAGCTTTGATTGGCCAAGGCACTCCCATGAGGCCGTTTGACTGACATGTCAAACAACCAATCACAGTTCGTTTCGTTCAGCGTCACGATTCGGGGCGTGGAAATGTCGCCACAATAACAGACCGGTGTGTAAAACTCTCGGACATATTTTAAATATTCTATGGCGCGAACTTTAAATATTTCACATACTTTAGAGAATCCAGCATTTAGTTGATCCTGATAATCGCTCATTGTCACAGTTGTAAACACGACGGCTTTCTTCTTTCGTGAGGGGGTTTGGCGCCATGGCATCTTTGTTTCCAGGCGGAACGTTAAAGAACACGACACACACGTCTCCCGGAAATCCTGTATAATTCAACCAATCCGATGACGGTGTGCCATATGCATTTTGTTTGCCATATGCATCAGACGTTCAGCCAATGGTCCGTGGCCGTGACGTCTGAGGCTGAGACTATATCTTTTTTTTAGACTGATCAGACTTACGGTTTTCTTAAAGCTGAAGATTAAACATGATAAAAATCCCATAGACAAATGATCCAAGACTATTCAAACTCCAACTGTCAAAAACATTAATCTAAACACACTGAAGCCTATTAGACCAAAGACTCATTTAGAAGGCTGCGCCCTCCGGAGGTTGATTCCTCTGGAGGTTGCATCCTCAGTAGGATGTAAATACGGAGTGTCCTCAACCTAGAATTAAAAGAGACGGCCTTCGTAGGACGGGCGGAAAAGGAAATAGGAAGTATCACGTTGCTATGCCAACACATTTAGAGCATCGTTGCGCTCTCACACTACTTAAATGAAGGAAAATTATTTCTAAATTTGGAAAGTAATTTGAAAAAAATAAAAAGTTTTAGCTTGTTTTATTTTGCTTAATGTTTGAGGAGCTGCAGTGTACGTACACCAGACATCTGTTAGAGGAAAAAAAGGAGGAGGACATTAAGAACAAAGTTTATCCGTTTTTACCGAAGCGATTTAAGGTAAGTTGTAAACACCACATCTGCACTTGTGTGTACATCTGCCGGCGCCACCATTTTTCAAATTAACGACGGTTGTTTACCGCGACACAAAAAACTTTTTATAACGCTATTTGAGCAAAAGAAACAACATTTATGACACTGTTGTTGTAAGATTTCTTTGGTGATTTCAAATATGAAATTTAATCGTAAGTTTAGTGAAGTTTTGGAGAATTTCATGTTTCCCCATTCAAAGAGAAAGGAGCTGCACTTGCATGCCCGAGAAGCTTTTCAAAGCTAGCCGCCGAGTGACGTGACTTGTCTTAAAGGGACTTTGATTAGACTCAATCAAACTTCCCTTCTATGTACTATTTCTAACCAATTTAAACTCATTTAATCTTCCACTCTATGTAATATTTCTAATCTATCTATCTATAATATATCTAACTGGTTGGCTGCTTCCAGGCTGGTTTTAAAGTGGTTTTGGCACCTTTTTAGCTGGTCAGGCTGGTCTTAGCTGGTCAAGCAGGGAGACCTGCTAAAAGACCAACCAAGTTTAAAACAGCTACTTTCAGCTTAAACCAGCTAAGACTAGACAAGGCTGGTTTTAGCTGGATTTTGACGGGTTCAGCTGGGTTTTTTTGTTAAATCAGCTGGTTTTAGTGGATTTTAACTGGTCTATAGCTGTTTTTTTAATTGAATAAGCTGGTTTTACCTGGTTTTTAGCTGAATTTTTTTCTTTTACAATGTTAAATCACATTAAAAACATACTAGCAGCATGCTAATCATGCTAGAAACATGTTAACCATGCTAGTAACATGCTAATCATGCTAGCAACATGCTAATCGTGCTAGCAACATGCTAATCATGCTAGCAACATGCTAAAAACATGTTAACAACATGCTAGTCATGCTAGAAACACCCTAGCAACCACCCCAGGTACCCTAGCAATATGTTTTATACCTATCTGTTTTTCTGATAAAGTGTATTGCCTTGAAAACATTCAAACTTTAATCTTTAAAACTATTTTAAATTTCAAACTACTTCAAACTGAAAACCTTCCGACTGCAAGCTTTTAAAACTTTTTAAAACTTTCTGGCTAGGCTTTTTCAAGCCAATTTAAAGTTTGTCTACAAACTTTTCATTCTAGTTTAATGTATTTATTTATTTATTTTCATTAAATTCACAAAACCTTTTGATTGGCATTTTTCCAGTCGTTTAAAAAAATGCAACAAGCTGGAAATTATACAGCTGTTATATAACTCCATAAATAAAACACACTTTTTTCACACATTGCCCTACCAACATTTTCAGTGGGCCGGTGACAAAAAATTTTTTTTTAATATTTTTTGTGAAATCTACAGAACATTTTGGTTACCTTTTTCTTAAATAAAAACACCTTTGCTGGAGAAAAATAGCAAAAATATTATTAATGTTTTGGTTATCATTTTTTGTCCTTTTTTCAAAAATTTGCATCAAGGTGCAAATTACAAATCTGTAATAAAACACCATAAATAATACACACTTTTGCTGGAAAATGATGCCATGTGATGCAAAACATTACTGATTACCTAACACACACATAACAAGACTGACTGTAACAAGTCTTTTTTCTATGTTAGTCAGCTAGACAACATTACCTTGTAGACAAATCAGCAAAATGTACAACAACAGCGTAGATTACATCACAGAAAAAACAAACATTTAAGCTTAGCAAGTCATAAAAATGGATGTAAAAATCAATGCATGTAAATGTTTCAGTGGCAACGCAGCACTAAACCTAAAGGGCAAATTACTTTTCCATCAACTCTCTCACACTGGCCTCGAGTCAGCGGGAACATCCTTATCATTGAGCCTGATTAAGTTAACTTAAGAGGCTAAACTTTCAGTTAATTGTCCCTTCCACATTAAAACCTACCAAGTAAAAATTTAATAAGCAGGAGTATCTAAATGACCTTAATGGATTTGTAATGTAAGCATTATAGTGAAACATGCAAATATATTAAAATGGTACAATACGCATACTGTTAAAGGCCAAGCAACACATTACGTAACAGGTTTAATTTTACTAGAACGACTGCACGACTCCATTATAAGCCCCTGTATAATGAAATGCTTGTTTTTCTCAATTTGCAAGAATAAAAGCGCATGCTGAATGACTATGTGAATGTGATTTTTTCTCCGTCGAGACAGACGGTCAAGATCTTAGAGGAAAGTGAATGATTGAGCAGGAAGAGAGGGGGACATGACAAATGACGGGGCTAAAGCAAACAGTGACAGAGAAAGCGAGGGAGCAAACAAATGAATGAACCAATACCCTGATATGAATTTACCTCAAACTGTGTGACGGCAGCGTAGCGGATTTCTCCCGAAGCAGTCATGTATTTACTCCTATAGAAGCCTTTCATTTTGTCGTTCAGCTCTCCAACAAAGTCTATTTTCAATGATCCCGCCCCTGAAAAACAAGAAGCCCATGATTAAAAAAAACAAAAGGCACACAAAACAGTAGGACGGAGCAAGGAAGGCCCATTCATCTTTTAAAAGGAAGCTGTTCAAACCGCTTTCATGCGACAATAAACCGACTATAGCAACTAATTACAGAGATTGTTGACATGACTGCAGCAGGCTCCTTCCAAACCACATTAGAAGTGCTCTACCTTTTTGCAGAGTGCTGGGGAAACATAGGGTCACCTTCTCATCCTCATTCTGATAGTTAAATCCTGTAGCGTTAATTTCTAAATGGATGGGGAGAAAATGAGCACAGTTAATCCTAAAAATAAAACAGACTATAAAGCATTTAATGCAAAAAAAAAAAAAAAAAAGTCAAGCAAACACATCAACTAAATGTGGATTTGCAGTTTCGCACTCACCGTCCCCCCCTTCAGGCACAAAAGAAGCAGTAATTATGTCTATATCAGCACAGTTCATCACAATCTGGTTTGTCCCTTGTGTAACCTGTCAAGAACAATGACATACAGTTCAGTTTTAACGTTTATGTGGCTCCGGTTGTTTCATGATCTCCAGTTTTCAGTGTTTGGTGTGTGATTTCTTTTCTAGCAACACTTCATTGCCTTTGCAAGCTTCGGAAACCTTTCTTTGTTTCATACTGTATCAGATAACAGCCATAAAAATGGAACAAACTGAAGTCACCTACATACAACAGAGCCAATCACTGCGGGAAAAATTCTTCCTGGTTTAGTAAATACCAAACGAGCCTCTTTCTCTGAAAGTTTAAAATGATATATACTACTTTTTAAATAAATTAGGCTAATACTTTTATTAAGCAAGGATGCACTGAATTGATCAAAAGTGACATTTATAAGCATTCACAATGTTACAGAAGATTTCTAATTCAAATAAATGCTGTTCTTTTGAACTTTCTATTCATCAAAGAATCTTAAAAAGAAAAACAGCAGAACTGTTTTCTTCAAGTATTTATATAATTACTGTCAACTGATTAATCGCATCCAAAATAAAAGTTTTTGTTTACATAATATGTGTGTGTGTACTGTGTATATTTATTATGTATATATAAAGACACACAAATACAGCATATATTTAGAAAATATTTACATGTATTTACGTGTATGTATTTATATTCATATAAATTATATCATATAAATATATTTAATATAGAAACGTAAAATTTTTCTTAAATATATACATGCATGTGTGTGTATGTATATATACATAATAAACATACACAGTACACACACACATTATGTAAACAAAAACTTTTATTTTGGATGCGATTAATCGTTTGACAGCAATAATAATAACAACAAAAAATGTTTCTTAAACAACAAATCCACATATTAGAATTATTTCTGAAGGATCATGTGACACTGAAGGCTGGAGTAATGATGCTGAAAATTCAGCTATGCGTCACAGAAATGTTACTACATTTAAAACCATACTAAAATAGAAACGAGCTCATTTCAATTTTAATAATATTTCACAATATTACTGTTTTTACTGTAGTTTTGATCAAATAAATGCAGCATTGATGAGCATGAGATACTTTTTTCAGTGGCCCTGAGTGTATCTACTTCAGCCTGTTTTTATCTTTGCTCATATCATAGTTCATACAATTTCCCTCTCCCTGTTTTGTTGTAGGAAATCTCCAGGAGTACGAGCAAATACGACGCACATGGAAAAAGAACCGCCTGAATCCTCACGGCTTTGCTGAGGCTCAAGGGCCATCTCCTGCTGTTGCCGCTATGAAATTCTGACGTGTGCATATATAATCAGATTATGAATAAAAAAAACAACAGTTTGCATGGCCTCTTATGTTGCAATAGGCTGTTTAAGACTGCATTTACCTATTGCATAATGCTGAAGTGAAACATTCCCAGGATGATCAATAGCTTTCAGGCTCTCCTCACATCCATAAGCTAGTTTTCACAGACAAATACATCCCAGAGTCCTTAACTGAACTATTACCACACTTTATGTATGGTGAATTGGATCCTGCATAATGATACGCATTGTGTTTAGAGACTTGAATCTGCCATGGTGAAGCTTTAGAGAGCACATGTGGCTTGTTGAAGCTGGATGTGACTTGGATGCAATGAGTGCACTGGCCATGTGACAACAGGCCGCCACCAGCAGTACACTATTTCAATGGCATTCATAAATGGAAGCCAATCATGGTCATAATGCATATGGCATTGTGGGGGATGTAGTTAATCTCATGCTCCAATAAGTCTTGGCATCAAGACAACATCAACGCAAGGCGACTTTCACAACAGGGCTGCATTAGAGTGGGGTACCGTACAACATGACTTAACATGTAAAGCTGTTGGTCTATAAAAAGGCTCCACAAACAATCTTAAGCAGAGGGATATGCTAGAGGCCAGACCTCAATTTCGTCACATCTGGCCCGCATTGACCTCTGCCATCTTTTCTCTCTGTTTACAGGATCATCCACAGTCATTTACCCAGTAGTAAGTGCTGTGATTGTCCTGATAAGATGCACTGATATAAAATATCAGATAGACATTTATATATACATATATTATAAACACTAATGTTTAGAATGATAAATACTTAGATACAGATATATTTATGTTGCATTTAACGAGTATAAAAGTCGTACCTAACTAACAATTAACTTTTAATGAACCTCATATTTTGAAGATTATATATAAAAGTTCATTATTTTAAAGTCCACATTGCACCTAGTGTTTCCTGGGGCACTACACTGTGATTATAGTAAGCTATAAAGTATCATGTAAACTGTCAGACAGGCTCAGAGTGACTCAGGAGCATGTAGACGGAACTGATTCACCGTCTCAGCCAAATACGTGAAAACTATAACCTGGAAGGCGGTTAAATTACGACATTTATTTGTGTATTTACGTGCTTTATGACAGTAGCTCTGCGGGCTAACGTGGTTAGCAGTGTGGCGCCAGTTAGCACTTTAGCTTGCGGAGCAACAAACTAACTGCTTAATTTTCTTTATTGCGAGAGGCAGACCTCAGAGGTCATCAGGTTTAAGTATTTAACCATAAATAATCACATTCCGACATGCTGGAGTCGTAAATGTGAAAGACTTGGTGGGTAAAGCCGCTGTCTGGTGAACTAGCAGGTAGCTCGTTAGATTAGCAGCAACGACAATATCAGCAGTTATGCAAAGTGAAAAACCAGGCTTAACATGAACATGGCATGACATTGCGGCCCAGACCAGAGGGGGCAGAGGGGCTGCATGGCATCGGGTTCAACATTACCTCCACGGCTGCCTCCAGTTTGCCCTCGAAGGTGAAGTCGATGAGGTCGGGCTTGAGGCGCAGCCCGTAGTTGACGGGGTAGACGTCAGTGGGCAACCGCACGAAGGGCCTCCGCTCAGGCATGCTGAATAATGTCGATACGCTGGAGACCAATTTAAGACTAGCAGTCTGCTTGCTCGAAGAGTCGGAGACACAAGCTTCGCTATTGGATTCGGAAAGCGGGGTAGGGCTAGCCGTATGACTGACAGAGACACCCGACGACAACTCATGAAAAACAACATACAAACCGTTGGAGATGGTCCTCGTTGTGCCCCGCCCCCTCTTCGGTTAGCGACGTCCGAATCGTTCTTTGGAGTCGGAGCTTTTCAGTGAATCGGTTGAACTGGCTCACAAAACTGGTCTGAATGGTTAGTTCACCAAACGAACCGAAAGAGTCGTTCCGAATCGGATTGAATCGGTTTACTGATTTTCCGATGAGGGATCTAAAATGTAGGTGAAATGTCTTGAGCAAAAAAGGTCCATTGTCCATTTTCTTTATGATTTATTTTTGGCATTTTTGCCTTTATTTTGATAGGACAGTTGCAGGAAGAGTAGGGAAGGTCTGCAAGCTGGGATTCGAACTCGGGACGGCCGAAGCGCAAAGGCGCCGACAATTGTCTGTTTTCAATAGCATAGCCTAAATATTTTAAACCATTCACAGATAAGTTACTTGTTTCGTTAGAATTTCGCATGTGAAAATTTGTCGAACAGCAGTAAATTGAAGCAGTAAATTGAGGATTTGAATGTAGCAGCAAAAAAAAAAAAAGCAGAATTAAATAAAATGTTTTAAATAATTAAATAAATATTATGCTACGTCACATATTACATTAATAAAACATATTATTAAATGTTTTTTTAGCCAATTGGCAACTTTAGTATTATAGTACATGCAAATTATATTAATGTTCTAACTGACTTTGTTTTTATGTGATGAATCATAGCTGCAAGAAATTGAAAAATTAAGAAAAGGGATGCTACAAAATGTAATAGCAGCAATGTGTGCCAACATATGGCTTTTAGCCAATTGGCAGCTTTAGTATTATAACAAATGCAAATGTTCTAACTGACTTTGTTTTTATGTGATGAATCATGGCAAGAAATTAAAAAATGAAGAAAAGAGACACTACAAATGTGTGCCAACATATGGCTTTATTTAACTGTTTAGTTTTAGAGTTTAGACAAATAATTTAATATGCCACGTCATGACGCAAATTTAGCTTAAAGGGGTCATATGATGCTGCTAAAAAGAACATTATTTTGTGTATTTGGTGTAATGAAATGTGTTTATGCGGTTTAAGGTTAAAAAAAACATTATTTTCCATATAATGTATATTATTGTTTCTCCTCTATGCCCCGCCTTTCTGAAACGTGTCGATTTTTACAAAGCTCATCGTTCTGAAAAGCGAGGTGTGCTGTGATTGGTCAGCTATCCAGTGTGTTGTGATTGGCCGAATACCTCAAGCGTGTGACGGAAATGTTACGCCCCTTACCATATTGTGATGATGCCCTGTCCGGCCGGAGCGACGAGACATAAACATTAAAACCCATTATAAACTAGGTATTTGTTGCATCCAGTGGGGACATAATTACGGATTATAATGACATATACCCTTTTTGTATATTTTTTTGTCTTTTTACGCGTTGCATCGCACCGTGTAAACATAAAGCCATGTCTGCATTTGTGATCGGAGAAATGACAAACAAAAAGCGCTACTCTACACTGCTTAAACTCTAGTTTGAAACGTCAGTGGCAAATTATTTAATATAAAAAACTTACTTACAGTCTTTGAGTCAGATCAGCCGGCATTGTCGTCTACTCTACCAGGATCAGGAAACAGTGCTCCATAAAATGTGCTGCACACATCTGAATATTTGGGTTGAAGTGTTCTGGAACAGTGTTGTAAATACAACTTAACCACTGATTTCTAGTCGTAGCCTCTTTTGGAAGACCAACCAAAGTAGTTTCGCTTTCACGACGAAGCACACAGCGTCTTCACGACATGGCGGCGGCAACAACAATACTACAGTGAGAATAAAAGTTACGCCTTCTTTCTTTGTGTGAACATTTGGGCAGCGTTATACAAATCTTCCCACATCATGATGTAGATATGTGGGGGCGTGTTAGAACGAGCTGTTTTAGGTAGGTGTGGCTGACTCTTAACTTTTATAAAGAATATCTCTTTGGATTTGAGACTTTAGTCTTTGCAACTTTACAGATCTTCTTTATGCACCAAGAGCTTGTAACTCCAAAGAGAAAGGAAAAATTGAAATCGCATCATATGACCCCTTTAATCCGCTTTTGAACGGATCTTTTTAATGAACTGTTCAAAAGAATCGATTCGTCGAAATGAGTTGGACTTCTCTCACGGACGGACTGATCAAAGGGAAAGAACAGAAATAAACACATCTGGATGGGAAAAGGCTTCAGCTACATTTGCAATATATATGTTAAATCTATAGAGGGCGCTACGGCCCATGTTTTATTAATTTGATTGGAATCGCATTGAATTTTACATTATATGTCACACTTTTGATATTTTTAATGAAAAAAGTGAAAAGGAGACATCTTCAACACAGCAGTTTTTCACTATTACAGCAGCTCGAAAGGTCAAGGTCCACAACTCTAAAAGTATAGTCTATCATTTAAACATGAAATCTTCATGCACAATTTGCATTTGTCTATTATAAATGTGAAGATGCCTCTTTATACTAATATACTATCTATAGGTTATCTTTAGGAACATACAACTGAAATAGATCCAAGAACTACTTCTTAGAGTAACCAATTATTTTGTGAGCCTCTGTTTTCTGACACAACACATAATAATCAGTGATGATTCGGTGTGCAGACATTGGGCTTGCCCTGTTAAAGGATATTAAAACAATTCTTTATTAAACATCTCAGTATAAAAAATGTACTTTATGTACTTTAGAAAACGGTTCTTGAGAAAAGTCAGATTAGCCTCATTTTGGGAAAATTGAAATGTGAACATTTTTTAAAATGTGAAACAGCGGCTCCATTTGGTCATGTAGACACTGAAAGCGAACAGAAATATCATATATCTTCCTGAGAGAGGCGATATAGTACCAATCATTTGACATGACATACAGTAGTGTCCCAAAAAAGTGCAACGCCGCAAATGGCACTGCTGAAAGGTTACAAATTTAAAAACGATACAATGCCATTATCTGGAGTCATTGAATTCTAAATCATATAATCTTTATATCACTGTTAGTCCACATTAAACGACTGAGTCTCGCTTTATTACTGTATTAATGGTTAATCAGGTAAATGTTTTAACTGGTTGAATTGCCTTTGTATTGCATGCATGTTTGAAAAGTATCATAAATTACAAGTGAAGAACAGGAAAACCAAGCAATGAATTCTCCTTGCAATGTCCCTATGGTTTATCATATACTAAATATTGGATCACTTA